GTGTAGGGACTAAATTAGGTAAGAAATTATCCTTCATCAGTAGATTCTATATAAGGGAAAGATATGCTCTTGAAACAGATAGCAAGGTGAAAACACGGATGCGTTGGCCAAGGAAACAAGCAGTTAGGTCTTGCATTTTGTGTATGTGCCCTATTAGTCACAGTGTGGCAACCTCATTGACTTGGAAAGTGGTGTTGCCAGAATGAAACTGGAGAACAGGACTTGGCACTGACTGGAAACCACAAGTGTCTTCATCATAACTACCTACATCTTGACTGTAGAGGATCGGAATGGTATGTTTATGTATTCAAGAGCATGTATTCAAAAAGGTCACATGGGTGGAGTGTGCAGTCACGAACATGAACCAAGTGTGGAGTCAAAAAAGCCGCCCGAATGCAGTTTTCTGATCATAAATTAATAAACTTGAGTGTGTTACCCATTGTTATACTAAACAGTAGTGATAGCATTTTCATAGAGCAGCATTGCTATGCTTTGCTGTCCTGTTTTTTTTCTTTGATGATCTATTATAAAACTAATTCTTGAGCTAGTCAAGAATTGTGTTCAGTTTTAAAAGCAAACACAGCTCCGAGTGTGTTAAGCTGAACTCTCTTCTTGGCAGAGGCAAGCCTGCCGATTTCACTGAGATACTCCTGCTGCATTGGAGCACTGAAAAAAGTTTTCAGCGGTCACTTTTTTCATAGCGGGAGCCATGAGAGCTTTGCTTTCATCCGTCCATCTCCCTGCCACCAGCTCCAGCCCTGACAAGCAGCGTGCTGCCGGCTGGTGCCCATTGCCATCCCTCTGCAGCTCCTCTGGGGTGTGTGGTGGTGGTCTGTGTGGTCTCCTCTGTCACAGTCCGCTCTGTGGGTGCTTGCTCGTTGGTGGCAGAGAGCGTAATTATTAAATAATGAAGCAATTTTTCTCGCTGAAAAAAGAGATTATATTCAGTAACAAGTTCATTCTCCACTGACAGTTTTTGATCTGCTCTGCCTTGTCAGGTTAGTCGCTCTCTCTGTTGTGGTAACAGGAGCAAGTATAAATCTATGTTAAATAAATACCTTTTGCAGTAAACAAGGATGTCATGAATATATTCGACAGCGATATGGTGCGGTGTGGGAAGAATTCAAATTAGATTCACTTAATGAAGTGTATGCTTTATCTCTTGAGTGTCTACTCCTGTACACGTTACTCGTCTGCCTGAGTTTTTGTGAGCTGTAACCGTTCAGTCCTACAAACATACTACCTGTATTTTGTGTATGTTAGTGTATATGGGATTATTCAGGATACTTATGTAGTCCACTTCTAAAAAAAGGGTTTTTTTCAGCTGGTTTGCATATTTCTAGTCATTTGGTTACGCTGCTCTGATTTGTATTTGTAGTAAATAGTTTTTTATCATTACTTTGTAGGTTGCAACCTCTAGAAAGGATAGAGGGAGATTTTACTTTGACTTAATGCTACTCCCTCATCAGTCCCAGCTTCGTTTTTCAGTTTTATTCTAGAGTTGAACTGTGACACTCTGTACTGTGTACGTGCAGGTTCCACACTGCTGAGATGTGAGCGGGAGCAGGACTGGAAAACAGACAGTGCACTGCTGTGCCAAGTTAATAGCCAAATAAGCAATTCTTCACGCGTCCCGGAAGGGCCAGATCTGTTTGGATAGTTAGACAGGCAGAGTGGGCAATGTGAGTTTGGTTCTGCACAATGGATGTCCTCAGGTTAGTTCACCAGGGCTTGTAAAAGATTCAAGCTACATCTCACAGTCAGTGGCCCCAAGATTTTCGTGTGTTTGCACGATCTCGGTAGAACGTAATTCCAAAGGGCTTAAGTTAGTGAATTGGTAAATAACTCTTTTAACTTCACAAGGAGAAAATAGCTTACCTTCAGCAAGATCTCTCCACCCACAGCTGAGAAGCACCTTTGCTAAATGTGGTTTGAAGCTTGAAAACCTTAATTAAGTGGAGGTGTTCATTTTTATATAAAGTAGTTCACAGTTGGAACAACTTTCTTGATAGAAGAATGGATTTTCCATGCTCAATCTTTTACTTAAGGTTGGAAAATACCTCATCCTCCCACCCTGCAAATTGAGTACTTGTTTAATGAGATATTGCAGACCTGAGGCAGAAATTACTGGGTCGAGTTTTATTCATACCTCTCGGGAGGTCAGGGAAGTCTCTTTCAGTGGTCACATCTTGTCTCACAGACTTGGCCCACAGCAAAGAAATTTTCAATTAAATCATTTTTTTTTCTTTCCTTGAATGAATTCAGAGTTTCATCTGAGCTTTTGCATCGCTATAGGATCTAACTGTGTGCTGGCTTCATCGCCTTTCCAAGGCGAGGTAGATGAAATTGTCACCTGCAGCCTGTCCGAGCTGTTAGTTGAAAACAGCGCTGATGCAGGGATGTGCAATTGTTTTCCTTTCCGTGGCGGTTTAACGTCTTAATGCTTGTTAGCTCCGAGCTGTACTTTAAAGAATCTGCTGGTGGGTTTCAAATTTTACAGCTCTGCGATACGGATAGCCTGAAGGATGTCTCTTTGGGGCACTTGAACCCAAGACCTTTGGCATCAGAGGCTGTTATTCTTCCAACAGACCTCTCATCGGCCGCTGAACTGCTTTGCGTGACCAGCGGGTAAACACTGTGGTTTGACAAGAACTTTGTGAGTGTTTACCTCATTTATACAACCATGCAACCTAATTTCAGCGATGCTTAAATTAATTTCTATTCTTAACGTGCACAGGTTGCAGTGAATGCACATAGCTGGCTTTGCTGGATGGATGCCAGTTTTGTTGCGTACATGAAAAATTACGTTTAAAAGTCATTTTCTTGGAGCGATACAAAAAGTTTTTGCATCACTGTTGTCACAGAACTGTTGTCCTTACGCTAAGGCTGTAAGCTTGGGTAGTGATTTCTTTTCTGAAAGCTTCTAAGGCTGCTGAAATTTTGGTCCATGGTCCTGTAGGACAGGGAAGCAGAAGCCCCGGGAGAATACCAGACACTGCTTGGCTTGAGCTTGAGGAGGGCGTGAGGTTTTGCTTTACCACTTTCAGTATATCACAGAAAAGAGGAAGGAAAGTTTCAGTCTGAAAAAGCTAAAAATAGATGCTTTAAGAAAACAGTTTAGTCTGTGAAAAGGTTGCTTTCATTCAGATCGGTCAAACAAATCTTGCCTTATTACCCACCAGTGGATGACCTTTTCATATACCTAATTCCTCCAGTCATAAATATTAGTGTTAGTGTTCATCTGCTACTTAACATTAAAAGCAAAAAGTTGAATTAACGTAATCTTTTTGTATTTTCAGAGAAATAGTGGAGCATATGGTTCAGCACTTTAAAACCCAGATTTTTGGGGATCGCAAACCAGTGTTTGATGGAAGAAAAAACCTTTATACAGCTATGCCGCTTCCTATTGGGAGAGATAAAGTAAGTTTTAAATAGAAAAGGTTCTAATTGGAGATTTTAGTGTAATATTTGCACAGCTTTTGCAATAACTGATAGAAACTGATGTCTCTATTTCTGGAATAGATGTCTCCGGTTGCCGCTTTGCTCAGGTGTGGTTTGCTGGGAGAGAAGAATGAGCTTATTGCCATCGAAACGGTCACTGCCCTTTCCATATTCCTTCTTTTTTTCCTCTCTTTCTCCCCACTAACCTGATTTCTACTGGTTTGATGAGCTGGACCAGCTGCCCCAGACAGTAGATGAGTTCCATGCTGGCACTAGGGGCAGAGTGAAAGCTCGGTTGAATTTGGGAGGGGGGAGTGGAATCGCCTCTCTGGGCAGCAGCAAGCTGCTGTGTCGGCTCGTTATTCTCACCAAAACCCACCGTAAGGTGATTCTGGAAGAAACTCCTCGATCCCTCTGTTCCTCGATCCCATTATGGAACCTCTTCTGCAATCCTTTTATGACGTGAGACCCAAATTAAACTGCAAAGTTTAAAGACTTTATAGCTTAGTCCTGGGGCAGTTGAAGAGGACTAGTGTGTTCCGTGTGCCAGCTCTGTTCCTGGGGCGATGATCTCTTTGGTTGCTGGTGAAGTAGCAGGGACTGGGTTGAAACCTGCTAATGTACAAACCCTGTAAAATAATTTAGGCTACTCATCTGCGGTCTGTTATCAGTTTGGATTTTCTGTGGCCTTTATTTCGAGGAACACTTGAGGATACAGTCATTCTCCTTGCTGGTTTGTACTACAGTGGTTCCCAGAGGCCGTTCTGCTGTGGGTGCAAGGCGAGGCGTGCCGAATTACGGAGGAGGACTGTCCTATCCCACAGATGTTGGTTATAACCTAAGTAGACAGAAGTAAAATGTAAGGGGGAAAGGGAAATACTGAGAAACGTGGAAACTTGCTTATGTGATAGAACTCATGTCTCCAGAAATTGAGTAGTGACGTGCGGTAAAATAGTTCATGCTGTCCTTTGCTGTCTCATATTGTTTGCCTGTGCACTGCTTGATGTAGTTAGTAATTCTACCAGAATCAAGTTCTTAATCTCACTTGTGTAATTTTTGTTTCCTTCAAATGTATTTAAGTGAATGTCATGTGGCAAAGCTCAGTCTCTACTTCAGTCTTGATTATTTTTCATTAACTGATAAGGTAAGGTCTGGGAAAACTATAAAGGAGCCATTAAAGGTATAAGAGAGATTTTTATTTTTTTTTTATTGCTTTCACATATAGTACTCCAGTTTCTGCAGGTTTGACACCTAAATTGCAAAATGTGTGGCAAAGATGAAATGATACCTAATGAGTGTCTCCTCGGGGTTTAAACAGCCCCTGCGGATGATGCCTTCTTACCTTGGAACTAAAATACTTTCAGCTTGTGGTTGATTGGCAATACATGTTTTTTTCAACAAGTATGAAGTTCTGCATTTAAGTAAAGATAAATCCAGTTCATCCATGGAGGATGAATAAACCGGGATCAAATTAATCCTCAGATCTAACGAGGCTTTGTGAGATGTAAGCTGACCCTCCTCTGACCGAGAACTGAATGAGATAACCTCTTCCTCCTGTTCCTTCCGACAGCCTGCTGACCAAACAGGGCTCGATCCGTCATACTTTGGGTTTCAAAGGCCATGCGTGTTCTGCTGGACATATATATGTGTTATTACCCTGGAGGAAAGACCTAATGGAGATAAATCTTGAGCTGGTTTAAGTCGGACGTGGGAAAATTCAGCTTAACAAGGGAAATTTCTACATGGTGCTAAATTGGTTTAAGCGTAGTTTAAATCTGTATCAAGCTTGTAGCTATTAGGACTTGGAGTAGGTTTCTTTGGCTGCCTTGCACCTAACAAATGTGGCAAGTTTCCTGCACGGCTGATTACGTTTAGGATCACGTTGAAAAGCTTCATGAACATAGTGCAAACTGCAGGAGCTTCAGCAAGTCAA